CACACACACACACACACACACACACACACACATAAATAAATAAAATTAAAAAAAAATTTGCTAAGCTTCAGTTTTCTTCTGTATAAACGGAGGCTAGCTTAGAGTCTCACGTGAGTTTTTTTTTTTTGGAAGCGGGGATGGAACTCAGGCCCTTGTGCTTGCCAGGGTCTAGCATGACTTGATCTTTTAGAGCAGGCTGAGTAGAATGGATTTGTACTTCACTTTTATATATTCATTGACTTTACTTAGTTGTTTATCTTAAAGTTTTGTCTGACATTCACTTAAACTTTTCCATCACCAGTAAGCAGAATATAGTTTCATTTTCTTTTTGAAAGTGGGGTGTTTTTCCTTTTTCATAGCACCTTGTCCACTCTTTTTTTTTTTTTTTTGGGGGGGGGGTGAACCAGGGATTGAACTCAGGCCCTTGTGCTTGCCAGGGAAGCACTTATTCTACTCAGCCATCTTCCCGGCCCCACCTTGTCCACTCTTATGATTTCACATAGTAGTTCAGCAGTGTCTTAGTTTCAGTTTCTCTTTGACTTGAGTAGGTGATTCAGGAGGTTTAAGAGTCTGGAAATTGTTTAGTACTGTTAAGTGCCTTGTTAAGATGTTACTCAACTTTGGCCCCATCTCACCTGTGTGTATTCCCTCCTATCCCATTAGGTAATATTTTCTTTGGCAGGGAAAATGGTTGTAAAATAATAAGAATTGAAGGACTGGGATGTAGTTAGGGGCACAGTGCCTGCTGTGTCCTGAGTTTGCTTCCTAGTACCAAAAAAAAAAAAAAATTGAACAACTAATGTTCCTTTCTGACATTTATTCCTATTGTATAATTTGGAGATGAAATGTAATTGAATTTGTATATGTGGTGTCTTAAGAGATATACATTCCTGCATGAAGATGAGATGGAGAAAGATCTGCGTTTTTCTAGTTTTGAACCCCTAATATCTATGAAAAATTGCAATGACCTTTTATTTCAGAGTGGGTGATAATGGTGTCTAAAGTATGAAAATAGGGGCTGGGGAGATAGTTCAGTAGAATAAGCACTTCTCTGGCAAGCTCAAGGACCTGAGTTAGATCCCTGGTTCTGCCAAAAAACAACAACAAAAAAACAGGATTCAAGATTCAAGTATGAAAACAAAAAATCTTAATTTGCAAAATAGGTAATTTGGGCCAGGGATATAGCTCAGTGGCCTGTCAAGTACAAGATTCTGAGTTCAATCTCTGGTACAAAAAGAGTATTTTATTTTTTTCTGTAATCTTTTGCTTGGGAAATACACATAAACCTGATACATGAAAAGAGTGTCCTGTGAGTAAACCTGATATATATTTTGAGATGATTGTACTTTTAGTTTAGAAGTTTTTGGCAATAAAAGATCTTGACATTTTAAATCAGTCTACTGAGATTTAAATGAGAATATATAATAATTTCATATGGATTTTCTTTTTTAGGTAAAATGGACAATGGAAGTAATTTGCTATGGACTGACCCTTCCTTTGGATGGAGAAACTGTAAAATATTGTGTTGATGTATATACAGACTGGATTATGGCTTTAGTGTTGCCGAAAGATTCTATCCCATTGCCAGTTATTAAAGAACCTAATCTTTATGTTCAAAGTATACTAAAACACTTGCAGAATCTTTTTGTACCAAGGTAAATTATACCTGTGTAGCCTATTACTAGGATCATAATAAAATTTTTATATATGTTACTTTATTATATGTAGGTGCTGGCATCATTTCCAGTCCTTTGAACAGTCTTCATTATTCAGTTAATAGTGTGTTAATATGAGTGCGAGAGATGGGCTTGTGTAATATTTTCCAAGCCTTTTTAATAAAAGTGTGTTCATTTTAAAGGGTTTTGAGCTGGGTGTGGTGGCGCATACCTGTAATCCCAGCACTCAGGAGGAATATTGTAAGTTCAAGACCAGCTTGGGCTACAAAGTGAGCTCAAGGCCAGCCTGAACCACATAGCAAGATCCTGTCTCAAAAAGACCAATGAATGAATGAGTGAATGGTTTTGTTTCCAAAATCTTACAGCTGTTAGATAGTAAAACTATGATATCTTTCCTTTTTGCTTAAAAAAAACGTACTTTTCCTCATCATAATTCTTGTTTTCACTTTAGGTAAAGCCACCTAAGCCTTTTACTTTTAAGATGAATCTTTTCTATGATAGAATGATGCCACAGAGATTAGAAAATTTAAACCAGACACATTGGTGTAAGCCTGTAATCCTGAAGCAGAAGGATTACAAGTTTGAGTCCAAACTAGCATCATAGCATGATCTTTTTCTTTGGTCTTTTTTTTTTTTTTTTTTTTTTGGCAGAATCAGGGATTGAACTCAGGCCCTTGCACTTACCAGGGAAGCATTTATTCCACTGAGCCATCTCCCCGGCCCAACAGAGCATGATTTTGTCTTGAAATTAAAATATAAAAGGGCTGAGATGTAGCTCAGTATAAAGGTCCTAGGTTCAAACCCCAGTACCACATGCACACACGTACACATACATATAAACACAGAAGGGGGAAAAACTTGAATTCCTCATAAGGAAATTTATGGTAGACCAATATATATAGGTATATATATATATTAATTTTATATACAGGGTCTTACTATGTAGCTTGGACTCCCCAGCACTGGGATTACAGGCATGCCTTATCTCTCTGGCCAGCTCATCGCACCTAGGGGCGGGGCCTGCACAGCATGTGGTGCTGGGAATTGAACCCTGATCCCAGCACTTGCCTAAGCGGGCACTTAAGTCCTCTGAGCTATCTCACCAGCCCCTAGACCAAAATACCACTCTTGAGAATTTGTTTCTGATTTTATTCCCATCTTCTGAAGTAAAAGCCTTAAGTATTACAATGTTGGATATTTGCCTTACTTGTACCAAAAAACATTCGTTCTGATTTTGAAAAAATATCCTGTGGTGGGGATGAAGCCCAATGGTAGAATGTTTACTTAGCATGCACAGGGCCCTATCACCTCCAATACCACCCCTCCCAAAGAATAATATATCCTTATAATAAATTTTGGGGCCAGGCGTGGTAGTGTATACCTGTAATGCGAGCACTAGGGAAGCTGAGGCAGGAGGATTACTGTGAATTTGAGGCCAATCTAGGGTACATAGTGAGTTCAAGGCCAGTCTGAACTACATAGCCAGAAGTGTTGTCCTGTCTCAAAACCTCAAAACCAACCAAATAAGTAAATAAAAAAATTGGAGACTATAGATAAGAATGGAGAAAAAAGCATTAGTTTCCTGTTTGTTCATGAAGATCTATTTTTTTAGCTGTGAATTAGGGCTGTGAAAAAAAAGTAGATGGCCTTTTCTCTTTTTGAAAAAGTTCTGATTAGAGCTTTTCATCTATCAAGTGGCTAAGGACTTTGAATCAGGTCCTTAAATTTCTGGCTTTCTTTTTTTTTTTTTTTTTAAATCTTTTTGAGAGAGGGTATCACTATGCAGTTCAGGCTGGCCTTGAACTCACATTGTAGCCAAGGCTGGCCTCAATTAACTTTAGAAGGACGTTTGCTTTGGGAAAGTCAAATTAAAGAAGCAAAGTCTCCATTAAGAGTTCTAGTCTGGGGCTGGTGAGATGACTCAGTGGTCTAAAGCGCCTACTTAGAACAAGCTTAGCAAAGCACAGGGACCGTGGTTCGATCCCCCAGCACCACATGCCAGCCAGCCCCGCCCTCTGGTCGGCTGAGCTGGCCTCGCACACACACACACACACACAAATAAATAAAATTAAAAAAAAAACAGTTCTAGTCTGTAGGATCAGCTAAAAACTCCTTTGCTCATACAAAATGCCAGGTGAAATCTGGCTCCTAACCAAATTAGTTGCTGCTAATTGTTCTTTAGTCAAACTCATAGTCTAAACATTCTGTATGACTTATTAGAGATCTTTCCCATTTTTTTTTTTTTTTTTGGTGGAACCAGGGTTTTGAACTCAGGTCCTTGTGCTTGCCAGGCAAGTGCTTATTCTACCGAGCCATTTCCCTGGCCCCTTTCCCATCATTGTCTGCCCCTTTGTTTTCTGCTTCTCTCCATTGTTTAGATGTCCACAGCTCACTTTTATTGATTCATTGCAAATTCTGCCTGTATGAAGTCCTACTTGACCACGTAGGTCCATGTTGACCATACCTTCTCTGAGCTTGTGTCACTCTTATGTATCATTCTTTTGTATTACTGGGGTTTGAGCCCAAGGATCTCTAAATACACCCCCAGTTACTCCTCCCTTCTTTTGGAGACAAGGGTCACTAAGTTGGCCAGGCTGGGCTTTGACTTGCTATCCTCCTGTCACAGTCTCATGCCCAGATTTATTATTTTTTTTCTTTTAAGAAACATAACTACTTTATAAATTGTTTTGCTGTTTGATTAGCTCTTTTTTCCCCAGAAGTATGTATGCATGAAAATCAATTTTTTTTAAATTTTTTTTTATTTATTTGAGAGAGAGAGAGAGAGTGTGTGGTGTGTGTGGCCAGCTCAGCCCACCAGGGGGCGGGGCTGGCTGGCATGTGGTGCTGGGGGATTGAACTGCGGTCCCTGATGCTTTGTTAAGCTTGTTCTAAGTAGGTGCTTTAGACCACTGAGCCATCTCTCCAGCTCCGAAAATCAATTTTGAAAGGGTACCGAGTTAGAGTGCTTTTGGCCAGTGATGGTATGTAGAGATTAGCTGATTTCTTTTTTCTTTTCTTTGCTCAGGGTTAAACCCAGGACCTTTCCTCTGAACTATGTCTCCAGCCTTCTACCCCTTTTAAAAAACTTTTTTGAGGCAGAGCCTCATTAAGTCATCCACCCTGGGTTTGAAATTGTGATCATCCTACCTCAGGTTCCAAGTGTTGAGATTACAAGCATGTACCATTATGCCTGGCTAGCTGAATATTTTCAATGCTAAATATTAGGAGTTATGATCTAATCTGTTATTAGACCTTACCTTTTTGATGCTAAGTGTTTGTGAAATTGTCATCTGATTTCCTTAACTAGTTGCTTTTGTATAAATTGATTCAGGGGAACTATCTTTGCTAGTTTGCTAGAAATTAAATCAGAGTGGGTATAATTTTCTCTTGCCTACTGTTTAAATTTTTTTCCTAATTAAGTGAAGAGTGAACCAT